AATAAAAAATATATAATTTGAAAAGTAAATAAATTGGAAAAGATTTTTAGAAAAAGCACCTCTGTACTTGAGGGAATTTAGAAGGGCATGAACATGCCCAGGGTAAGACACATGCACGTACGTAAACCTGAGAAGATGAAAACTTCCACCTCAGGCTGATCTCTAGGCTTGGTGCAAGCATGGCTAAGTATTGAAAAAGTGCCTTGGCACAGAGCTAATCTGCAAAGATCATAAGAATAATTTTTTTAGGTTGATTAGTTTTTAGCTCGTGCATTCAAGAAAGTATGTGTTGAAACAGTAGCTAATAGAAGCCAAGAAACAGAGATTTCAGTGACCACACATGAGAAGGAATACAGTCTTTGCAAAATAGTTTGGGAAAATTATTAAACAGACTATTATAGTTTTCAACAATCAAAAAACCACAGGGGGCCAGGCGCGGTGGCTCACGCCTGTAATCCCAGCTCTTTGGGAGGCCGAGGCGGGTGGATCACGAGGTCAAGAAATCGAGACCATCCCGGTGAACATGGTGAAACCCCATCTCTACTAAAGATACAAAAAATTAGCTGGGCATGGTGGTGCGTGCCTGTAGTCCCAGCTACTCGGGAGACTGAGGCAGGAGAATTGCCTGAATCCAGGAGGCGGAGGTTGCGGTGAGCCGAGATCGCGCCATTGCACTCCAGCCTGGGTAACAAGAGCGAAACTCCGTTTCAAAAAAAAAAAAACACAGAAAAACCTGAGTTTGGAGAGAATCTTATTTCCAGTGTTAACATATTATTATAATCAATACTTAGCCACATATAATATTCATTATATATTCAAAAGTATAAACCCCAATACTCCTGTTTTCAATAACAGTAATAATAACAACAAAAATCACAAAAAACTATGGCCCACTCAAGAGAACAAAATAAGTAGACAGAAACCATCCATAAAAAAGTCTAGACAAAGACTTCAAACAAGTTTATTAATTATACTCAAAGAGCTAAGGGAAAATACAGACAAGGAATTAAAGAACATCAGGAAAGTGATATATGAACAAAATGATACTATTAGTAAACAGAAATTATCAAAGTAATCAAACAGAATATTTGCCATTAAAATGGAAACTTCACTAGAGGGGCAAAGCAGGCAATTTGAGCAAGTACAAAAGAGTATAGGTGAACTTGAAGATAGGACAATTTAAATTATAAAATCTAAGGAGTAGAAAGGAAAAAAGATGAAGGAAAGTAAAGAGAGCCTAAGAGACTCCTAGGACACCATCAAATGAACCATATATGTATTATGGTATTTTCCAAAGGAAAAGAGAGACAGAATGAGGTAGAAAAAATATTTGAAGAAATAATGGTCCAAAACTTCCCAATCTGCTGAAAGATTCAAATCTACAAATTCAAGTTGAAAAAACTCCAAGTATTATAAACTCAAATACCCAACAAGACACATTATAACCAAATTGTCAAAAACTAAGGCAATGAGAGAATCTTGAAATAAGCGAGAGAGAAGTGTCTAGTCATGTACAAATATCCTCGATAAGATGATAGCCAATTTCCTATAACAAACTAAGGAGAAGACAGTGTTATGACGTACTTAAAGTGCTGAAAGGAAAAACAACCTTTCAACCAAGAATCCTGTATCCGGCAACACCACCCTTCAGAAATGAGGGAGAAATGAAGATGTTACGAAGACACAAGAGCCACAGAAGTCTGCACTCCTAGATCTTCCATAGAGGAAATGCTAGTGGGAGCGCTTCACCTTGAAACGGAAGGGTACAAAACAGTAACTCAAAGCCATATGACAAGTAAAGGTAAATGTATGGGCAAATATAAAAACTATTATTGCCATTTTGGTTTTTAATTCCACTTTTTATTTGCCACAGATTCAAAAGACAAATGCATAAAAATGATTATAAATTTGTGAAATAACTTATCTCATAAATGAGATAACTTGGATGAGATAGACGAATTTCTATGAATGGACAAATTATCAAAACTTACAAAGAAAAAATAGGAAATCTTTATAGACCTATAACAAGTAAGGAGATTGATTCAATAATAAGAATCTTCTAACAAAGAAAAGTACAGAACCAGATGGCTTCACTGGTAAATTCTACCAAATATTTAAAGAAGAATTAACATCAATCTTTATCACACTCCTCCAAAAAATAGAAGAGGAAGCATCACTTCATGTTTCATTCTATGAGGCCAGCATTAGTCTAATGCCAAAGCCAAAGATATCATAAGAAAATAAAACTACAGATCATACCTTTAAGAATATAGATGTAAAAACTCTTAGTAAACATTAGCAAACTATATCCAACAGCATATGAAGCCATGACAAAGTGAGATTTATCCAAGGAATACAAGTGTAATTCAACATAAGGACATCAATCAATGTAATATACCATTATTTTTAATAATAATACAGAACAACAAAAAAAGACAACATATGATCATCTCAATTCATCTAGAAAAACTTCAACATTAAGGGTGTTTATTTAAAAACAGATAGCTAACATCATATTCCATGGTTATAGACTGAAAGCTTTTCCCCTAAGATCAGGAACAAAACAAGGATGTCTGCTTTGATCACTGCTAATTTCTAGACAGATAATTTTGACAAGAAAAAGAAATAAGAGCCATCAAAATTGGAAGCAAAGAAGTAAAACTCTCTCTATTCATAGATTATGATCCTATACATAGAAAATCCCAACAAATTATTGTAAAAAAGAAAAGCGAAACTACTACATATAATAAACAAATTTAGCAAAGTTTCAGAGTATAAGGTCAACACATAAAAAATCAGTTGTATTTCTATACACACCCAATGAACAATCTAAAAAAGATAGTTATAAAAGCAATTTCGTTTACAATAGCATCTAAAATAATAACATACTTTGGAAATAAATTTAATGAAGGAAGTGAAAAGCTTGTATACTGAAATCTACAAATCATTGCTGAAAGAAATTAAAGACTCAAATAAATGAAAATACATTCCATGTTCATGGATAGGGAGATTTAATATTGTTAAAATGTCAGCATTACTCAAAATGGTCTGAATATTAAATGCAATGCCTATAAAATTCCGATAGCTTTTTTTGTAGATATGAAAATTTTTGTCCTATATTATTGGATATAGAAAAGAAATCAAAATAGGGAGCACGTAGTTTTGAGAAATGAATAACAAATATACAAAAATTCAAACCCTGTAACGTGAGCAAAGGACACTTCAAAAGACAAGTTATAATTTTCAATTCGCTCGTAGAAAACGTATAAAATGTTGAATATCTTTTGTATTTTCAATTTGAAAAATTAGAAAAGTTTGGTATTTTAACGAATGAATAGATGGCTTTAGGAACAAACAGCAAAGCACCCAACATATAAAGTCCCATGCACCACTCTCTCCCCACAGAACAAGTGCAAAATCTGTGGCAGGTGGTTTTATGTAAAAAATACAATAGAACAGACAATTTTGGAAACTATGATCAGGAATGAAGAAAGGTCAGAAAAATAACAGAGTACATGAATTACATTACACAGTATCATTATATTCAAAATCTGGAATAAAATGAACTTTCTAGAAAGATATAATCCATCAAAATTGGCCTAAGAATAAATGTAAAAATTGGAATGAACCAGTAGCCATAACAGAAGGTAAGATAGTAGTAATCATTCATTCCTGCAAAAGGTACCAGGATCAGAGTGTTTATGGCCACATCAAACCTTCAAGAAGTAGCTAATCTTTAGTTTAACAGAAACTATTCCAGAGAATACAAATAGATGGAAAGTTTTGACTCATTCTACGAAGTCAGCAGTACACTGATGCCAAACAAACATGAAATCAGCTAAGAGAAAACACTGTCGGTCAGGCTTTGGTGCATGCAGTCTTGGCTCCCTGCAGCCTTGACCTTCTGGGCTCCAGCAGTCTTTCCACCCTCGCCTCCCGAGAAGCTGGGACTACAGGAACATGCCATCAATCCCAGCTAATTCAGCATTTTTTGTACAGACGGGGTCTAACTACATTGCCCAGACTGGTCTCAAACTCCTGGCTCAAGCGATCCTCCCATCTCAGCCTCCCAAAGGGCTGGGATTTACAGGTGTGAGCCACAGTGCCCAGCTTAAATGCCTATTCTTGGCATCAATAGATTAAAAGAGCAAAACTATATGATCCTCTCAAGAGTTGCCACAAGCATTTCGATAAAATCAATAATTATCTATAATTTTTTAAATTAAGTAATTCAGCTATAAAAGGTAACTTTCTTAATCTGGTGTAATATATGAACCTGAAATCTGCAGGCCAGGCTGCAAACGCAATAGTGAACCGTTAGAAGAATTTCCAATCAAAGAGAACCACGAAAAGACCTGGCATCATCTCTACTGGAGGTTCCAACCATTGTAAGAAGACAAGAAAAAGAAATAAACAATCAAATATGGGAGGAAAGTGATAAAATAGTCTTTATTAGAAGAAAACATAATATTTTATCTAGAGCTGTCAAAATAATCAGTTGATAAACTACTAACAATGAGTTCTATAAGATGACGATATAAGATCAATATACAAAAATCAATAGCTGTGATTGATTAGCAAATGCAATCATAAAAATCTGTTTCGAATAGTCCTAAATATTGAAGAGTGCCCTGGTATAAATCTAGAAAGAATGCACAGGGCTTTGTGGAGGAAAGTTTAATAATGAATGGTTTTTAAATGAGCTAAAGGATTTCTAAGTTCAATTTACAACCTTAAGGAAAGCTATGCTTTTAAATTTGTGCTCTTGATATACTGCCCAGCAACTTCACATCAAAGCAGCCGTATGTATTTTTCTGCATACAACAAAGCCAATCAGAAATAAAACAACACAACACCCACACTGACAAACAAATGTAGATTGACGGGTGAGGACTCCAGTCCCCAAACACCTGGACCCCCTGAGCTGGCAGACCATTTTCTTCCCTGTGGTGGAATGGAAGCCTTCACTCTGCCCACAAAGCCCTGCACTGTATTCCTACCTTGTTGTGACACTAGTCCCCATCCTGTAGCCCAGCAATTGGCACTGGTAAGGTCCAGATCTGGAGGTGGAAGGCAGACCGGGAGCACGGAGTCAGAAAACGCAATGCGGCTCTTCAGCTGCACCAGCGCCACGTCGCCTCCGATGGGGTGGTACACCTCATATGAGGGATGCAGGATCACCCGGTCCACCTCATACCACTGGGTGTGGTTGCCAGCCACCTTGAGGTTCACGAGGCCTACGTACATGTCATAGATTTTGATGTTCTTGTCCCTGTGGGGGTGAGAACAGAGGGATAATGCTTGCTGCCTCCTGTGTGGTCAGCCCACAGGCTCGGGGAGGCCAAGAACAGGAGGCTGGCACTCAGTGGGACTGAAAAGCCAGCTTCTTCCGGCAGCACAGCAGGGACCTATCTGGCTGTCTGGCAGAGGTGCCCCCTAAGGAGTCGACTTGGCCCATGGAGGCTCTGGGGACCAAAGTCTGTACACGGCCACCAGCTGTACAGGCCAGCAGCCCATGCCTGTGAGACCTGCTCTCATTCTTACCGACAACCTGGCTGCCCACATCCCTGTGGAGGCCAGATGACCACAGGAGAGCCATGCCTGCTGTACGGGGCAGCTGTGGTGAACCGGCTGCTGGAGGAGCCACCAGGAAGGCCAGGTGCTTGGAGACCAGCCTCACTCATGGGGACCTGGCTGTGCACTTGAGGACCAGCCTCACTCTTCTGGGACTTGGCCGTGATCTTGGGGACCACAGTGTCACTCTTGAGGACCTGGCTGTGCACTTGGGGGATCAGGCTCTGCATCTGAGGACCAGCCTAGCTCGTGGGAACCTAACCATACCCTTAAGGGATCAGCTTTGCATGTGGGGACTGGCCGTGATCTTGGGGACCAGTGTCACTCTTGAGGACCTGGCTGTGCACTTGGGGGAGGGTGGGGACGCGATTTGTGTGCTTTGACCCAGCCTGACTGGTGAAGACCTGGCCCTGTAGGGGTGGACAGTGGTGAAGGGGGAGGCTTGCATGGGGTCCATCCAAGCCGCTATGGGCACGCCGTGCAGGCCCAGCTCCCCACACCGTCCCGGGCCCGCGCCCCCTCACCGGCCGAAGCAGTGCGCAGCCGACAGCACCCAGTACTCGTTGAGGATGGAGCCGCCGCAGACGTGGAGGCCCGCGTAGTGCACGCTGACCTGCCATGGCCACCTCCTCTCCAGCGCCGGGCGGCCGCCCAGGATCTTCCCCTCCATGCTGGGCCGGCCACAGGCTGCAGGGAGGACGGAGCTCACGGTGGAGCCACGCTGGGGCCACGGGAGGGGACACGGGGGAGGGGCGGGGACCCAGGAGGAAGGTGCTGCAGGGGACGTGGGGGAGGGGCGGGGACCCAGGAGGAAGGGGCAGTGGGGGCTGTGGGGGAGGGGCGGGGACCCAGGAGGAAGGGGCAGCAGGGGACGTGGGGGAGGGGCGGCGACAGGTGCAAGGGGCAGTGGGGGGTGTGGGGGAGGGGCGGGGACTCAGGAGGAAGGGGTAGCGGGGGCCGTGGGGGAGGGGCGGGGACTCAGGAGGAAGGGGCTGCAGGGGACGTGGGGGAGGGGCGGGGACTCAGGAGGAAGGGGCAGCGGGGGGCGTGGGGGAGGGGTGGGGACTCAGGAGGAAGGGGCTGCAGGGGACGTGGGGGAGGGGCGGGGACTCAGGAGGAAGGGGCTGCAGGGGACGTGGGGGAGGGGCGGGGACTCAGGAGGAAGGGGCTGCAGGGGCGTGGGGGAGGGGCGGGGACTTAGGAGGAAGGAGCAGCAGGGGATGTGGGGGAGGGGGCGGCGACAGGTGGAAGGAGCAGTGGGGGACATCGGGGAGGGGCGGGGACTCAGGTGGAAGGGGCAGCAGGGGAAACGGGGGAGGGGCGGGGTGGTGCCAGAGACATGTAGGGGGAGGCCTGGCACCGAGAGCGCCCAAGGGCACTGTCTCCAGCCGCCCGCCCCGGGGACAGGACCTACCCACGCTGCGAGTTAGGGAGATTCCCTGGTTCTCCGCGTGTCTGTGGCCCGAGGCAGCGACCCAGGCTGGGGGCCCCACCAGGAGCAGCAGCAGAAGGCCCAGGGCAGAGGGCCCGGGTGTACCCATGCCGGAAGTAGGGGCAGCCATGAGGCCGGAGGCAGCGCCCCCAGCGGGTGACTGTGCCCCACGACACGTGACCGTGTCTCCAGCATGGGATTGGGCCCCGCCAGATGGCTGCACGCCAACCCGTGACTGGCCCCCACCAGTTGATGGCACTCCCAGCAGGTGAGGGCGCCTGACCTGGACATGTGACTGCACCCCCAGCACATGTCTGTGTCTCGGGATTTACCTCTCTGGACCTGGGCACATGATGGCTCCCAAGCCGGCCATGTGACATTGCCCAAGATACCTCAGCCTCGGTTTGGCATTCCATCCCACAGTCAGGTCCACCTGAGAATTCTGTGTTTTAAATCCTGATGTACTCAGCTTTCTCCATGGCCAACTTAATTGTTAGGTCGATGACAATTTATACATCTGCTGCCCAGCCATAAAGAGAGAGAGAGAGAGAGAAAGTAGGTCAGGCATGGTGGCTCATGTCTGTAATCCCAGCACTTTGGGAGGGTGAGGCAGGTGGATCAGTTGAGGTCAGGAGTTTGAGACCAGCCTGGCCAACATGACAAAACCCTGTCTCTACTAAAAATATAAAAACTGGTCAGGCATGGTGGCATGCAACTGAAATCCCAGTTCCTCAAGAGGCTGAGACAGCAGAATCATTTGAACCTGGCAGGTGGAGGCTGCCGTGAGCCGAGATCACACCACTGTACTCCAGCCTGTGCAACAGAGCAAGACTCCATCTCAGAAAACAAAGAATACCTTAAGCCCTGATTTATACCTGGTAAAATTTATCCCATTGGTTCTACATTATGGTGAGTTGTATAATTTTTTCATTATGTATTACAATGTAATAATGATAGAAAAAAAAGTGGACAATAAATGTAATGTGCTTGAATCATACCAAAACCATTTCCCTGCCAGGAAGAGAGAGGCAGAGGTTGCAACAGTTTGGAGGGCTCAGAAGAAGACAGGAAAATGTGGGAAAGTTTGGAAATTCCTAGAGACTTGTTGAGTGGCTTTGACCAAAATGCTGATAATGATATGGACAATGAAGTCCAGGCTGAGGTGGTCTCAGCTGGAGATGAGGAACTTGTTGGGAACTAGAGTAAAGGTGATGCTTACTATGTTTTATCAAAGATACTGGTAGCATTTTGCCCTGCCCTAGAGATTTCTGGAACTCTGAACTTGAGAGAGTTGATTTAGGGTGACTGGTGGAAAAAACTTCTAAGCGGCAAGGCATTCAAGCAGTGACTTGGTGCTATTAAAAGCATTCAGTTTTAAAAGGGAAACAGAGCATAAAAGTTTAGAAAATTTGTAGCCTGACAATGTGATAGAAAAGAAAAACCCATGTTCTGAGGAGAGATTCAAGCCAGCTGCAGAAAGTTGCATAAGTAATGATGAGGAGCCAAATGTTAATGGCCAAGACAATGGGGAAAATGTCTCCAGGACATGTCAAAGAGCTTTCTGGCAGCCCCTCTCATCACAGGCCTGGAGGCCTAGGAGGAAAAAATGGTTTCATGGGCCAAGCCCAGGGCCCCCATGCTGTGGGCAGCCTAGGGACTTGATGCCTTGCATTCCAGCTGCTCTAGCCATGGCCAAAAGGGACCAAGGTACAGCTCAGGCCATGACTTCAGAGGGTGCAAGCCCCAAGCCTTTGCACCTTCCAGACTATGTTGAGCCTGTGGGTGCCCACAAGTCAAGAACTGAGGTTTGGGGACTTCTGCCTAGATTTCACAGGACGTATGGAAATGCCTGGATGTTCAGGCGGAAGTTTTCTGGAGGGGTGGGGTCCTCATTGGGAACCTCTGCTAGCGCAGTGCAGAAGGGACATGTGGGGTTAAAGCCCCCACACAGAGTCCCCACTGGGGCACTGCCTAGTGGAGCTTTGAGAAGAGGGCCACTGTCCTCCAGACCCCAGAACGGTAGATCCACCAACAGCTTGAACCATTCACCCAGAAAAGCTGCAGATGCTCAATGCCAGCCTGTGAAAGCAGCCAGGAAGGAGGCTGTACCCTGCAAAGCACAGGGAAGAGCTGCGCAAGACCATGGGAACCCACCTTTTGCATCAGCAAGACCTAAATATGAGACATAGCACTAAAGGAGATTATTTTGGAGCTGTAAGATTTGACTGCTCTGTTGGATTTCCGACTTGCATGGGGCCTTTAGCCCCTTCATTTTGGCCCATTTCTCCCATTTGGAATGGGCATATCTATCCAAAAGGAATATAAAATCAACTTACTTTTGATTTTACAGGCTGACAGGCAGAAGGGACTTGCCTTGTCTCAGATGAGATTTTGGACTGTGGACTTTTTTGTTAATGCTGAAATGAGTTAAGACTTTGGGGGATTGCTGGGAAGGAATGATTGGCTTTGAAATGTGAGAACGTAAGATTTGAGAGGAGCCAGGGGAGGAATTATATGGTTTGGCTGTGTCCCTACCCAAATCTCATCTTGAATTGTAGCTCCCATAATTCCCACGTGTTGTGGGAGGGACCCCTGTGGGAGATAACTGAGTCATGGAGGCAGTTTCCCTATACTGTTCTTATGGTAGTGAATAAGTCTCATGGGATCTGATGGTTTTATAAGGGGGAAACTCCTTTCACTTGGTTCTCATTCTCTCTCCCCTGCCACCATGTAAGAAATGACTTACTCCTCCTTGCCTTCCTCCACGATTGTGAGTCCTCCCCAGCCACGTGTAACGATGAGTTCATTAAACCTCTTTTTCTTTATAAACAACCCAGTCTCAGGCTTGTCTTTATGAGCAGTGTAAAAACGGACTAATACAATGCCATTCCATTTGTCTATATTTATTGTTGTTATTGCCTGAGCCTTTGGGGTCATATCCAGAGAGTTCTTGCCTAAGTCAATGTTGTGAAGTTTTTCCCTATGTTTTCTTCTGGTAGTTTTGCAGTTTCAGGTCTAAGTATTTAACCCATTCTGAGTTGAGTTTTGTGCCGGGTGTAAGATGAGGATCTAATGTTACTCTTCTGCATGAGGATAATCAGTTTTCCCAACATCATTTATTGAATAGTCTGTCCTTTCTCCAGTGTTTGTTTTAAGTGTCTTTGTCAAAAATCAATTGACTATAAATGCATAGGTTTATTTCTTGGCTTTCTATCAGATTCCATTGGTCAGTTAGTCTATTTTTTTTTTTAAGGCCAGTATCATTCTGTTTTGATTGCTTTATAATATATTTTGAAGTCAGGTAGTGTAATGCCTCTAGCTTTGTTCTTTTTGCTCAAGATTGTTTTGACAATTCCAGGTTTTTTGTGGTTCCATATAAATTTAAGGTTTTTTTTCCTATGACATTTTCTATGAAAATGACATTGGAATGTTGATATGAATTGCACTGAATCTGTAGATTGCTATGGGTAATATGGACATTTTAACAGTGTTAATTCTTTTACTCCATTAACATGGGATATCTTTAGATTTATTTGTGTCTTCTTCAATTTCTTTCACAAGAGTTTTATAGTTTTTAGTATACAAGTCTTATAAAGAAGTATTTGATAATAAAATATGAATATAGATAATAAGTGTTTTGTTGTTGCTATTGTAAATGAAATTGTTTTCTTCTTTTTCAGAAAGTTTCCCATTAGTGTATAAGATGCCACTAATTTTTATATATTTATTTTGTATCCTACAACTGTACTGAATTTATCAGTTCCAACAACTTTTTGGTGGGGTCATTAGGGTTTTCTTTATATAATATGTTATCAACAGAGACAATTTCACTTTTCCCTTTCCAGTTAGGATATCTTTTATTTTCTTCTCTTGTCTAACTGATCTGGGTAGGATTTCCAGAACTACGTTGAAAAAAGTAATGAGAGTGGGCATCCCTGTCTTGTCCCTGATTTTAGAGGAAAAGTTTTCAACTTTCACTATTGAATATAATGTTGGCTATGCATTTGTCATATACGGCTTTTTTTGTGTTCAGTTATATTGCATGTATACCTATTCTGTTAACAATGTTTATCATAAAAAAAAGTATTAAATTTTAGTCTGGGAGTGATGGCTTACACCTGTAATCCCAGCACTTTGGGAGGCTGAGGTGGGTGGATCACCTGGGGTCAGGAGTTCAAGACCAGCCTGGCCAACATGGTGAAACCCTCCCTGTCTCTACTAAAACTACAAAACTTAGTCAGGTGTGGTGGCACATCCCTATAATCCAAGCTACTTGGGAGGCTGAGGCAGGAGAATCGCTTCAGCTTGGGAGGTGGAGGATGCAGTGAGCTGAGAATGCACCACTGCACTCCAGCCTGGAAAACAGAGCAAGACTCCATCTCAAAAAAAAAAAAAAAAATGTATTGGATTTTGTGAAATGCTTTTTCTGCATCCATTGAAATACTCATATGATTTTATTCTTCATTTGTTAATATGATGAATCATATTTATTGATTGGCACATATTGAACCATCCTTGCATTCCAGGGATAAATTCTACTTGATCATAGTGAATGATCTTTTTAATGTGCTGTTGAGTTTGATTTGCTAGAATTTTGTTAAGGACCTTTGTATCTATGTTCCTCAGGGATATTTGTATTTGTATCTGGCCCTGTCTCAGGCCAGAGCCCCAGTCCACTCTGCACCAGAGGCCAAGAGGGGGTAGGGGAGGGCGTGGGGGAGCACTTGTGGGAAGGAGGGGGTGGGGGAAATCCTGAGAGAAGCAAGGGTTAGTGGAGGGAACTCCTGTGGGAAGGAGGGATTAGTAGGGAGAGCTCCTGAGAGGAGGGGGTGAAGGGAGCTCCTCTGGCAAGGAGGGGGTGTGGGGAGTTCATGTGGGAAGGAGGGGGTGGAGGGAGCTCCTGTGGGAAGGAGGGGGTGGAGGGAGCTCCTGTGGGAAGGAGGGGGTGGGGGGCTCCTGTGGGAAGGAGGGGGTGGGGGGAGCTTCTGAGGGAAGGAGGGGGTGGGGAGCTCCTGAGGGAAGAAGCGGGGTGGGGGGAGTTCATGTGGAAAGGAGAGGGTGGGGAGAGCTTCCTGAGGGAAGGAGGGGGTGGGGGGTTCATGTGGGAAGGAGGGTGGGGGGAGCTCCTGTGCGAAGGAGGGGGTGGGAGGGAGCTCCTGTGGGAAGGAGGGTGTGGGGGGAGCTCCTGTGGGAAGGAGGGCATAGGGGGAGCTCCTGTGGGAAGGAAGAGGTAGGGGGAGCTACTAAAGGAAAGGGGGGTTGGGGGGTCTCCTGTGGAAACAAGGGGTTGGTAGAACCTTTGGAGGGAAGGGGGAGTTCTGGGGTCGTGGGAGGACACTGCCAGGGGCCTGGCGAGGCTGTGGTGCCTCTGCTGCCTGCTGGGCTGGGAGGCAGCCTGGCCTGTGGAGGAGGGGCCTGCCTGTGTGTTGCTGCCCCTCCCCACAGCTGGGCCTGTCCCAAGTTGTGTTCCTCCAACCCTCTTTGCCCTTGATTGGAGAGCAGTGTGAGGCCCAGTGTGGTGCGGGCTAGACCTTGAGGCTCCCGGCTTAGAGAAGCCCCTGGGGTCTGGAGTGCAGGTGTCCCAGCGCACTGCCTCCTTTGCAGCTGGGCCCTGCAGTCCCTGCCCCATGCCTGACCTTCCCAGCCAGGGATCCTCCCACCAGGCTCACACCAGCCCTCAGCCCTGAGCCAGCCACAGCGCCCTTCTCACTCTCTGTGATCCCTGGTCCAGGGCCCAGCCTCTTCATGAGTCTCAGCCAAACTGAAACTGATCTCTTGTCTCCTCCCCAGCACCCAGTGGGCCCACCCACCTGGGCTCCCCAACTGGAGGCCAGCCTGACTTCCAGCTCCTGCAGAGCCGTGGCCGCCCGAGGCATTGGTCCTGTGCCCAAGCTGGTGTGGAGGAATTTGGCTCAGCGGTGCGGACATGGCGAGACCCTCCCTCTGCAATGGCTGGGGTGCCGGGTGCTCCCAGGATGAAAGTCCCTGTACCACTGCTGTGGTGCCCCGGGGAAGGCCCTCTGCAGCTGGCCTGAGGAGCATCCTGCAGGCCCGCCACCAAGAGGCGCAGGAGCAGCTCTGACTGCACTGGGTGCTGGGGAAGCTGGGGACCTGCGAGGGCCTTGCATGGCCAAGACAGGGGTGTGCAGCAGCTCTGTACCCCAGGACTCAGTTTCTCCCACTGTAAGAGCTTCCTGGGGATTTCCTGGGAGCCAGGAAGGGGTGCGTGGCCCACTCTCCCAGCAGGCACATCCCCCACCGCCCCAGCCAGCACAGCTGGTCCTGATTAGAGCAGGGCTCAGCTCCCCTCCTGAAGTGAGCCAGACAGGCAGGGGCGGAAACCTGATCCCAGTCCCTCATCCCACATTCCAGCCCAGCAGTGCAGGCAGCACTGCTCCTGCCTCTTCCTGGCCGCAGAGTGCTGGGGGGCTCCCAGGAAGTGCAGCTGGGATGTGGCTTCCAGCAGGATACCTATTTGGAGAGAGGTCTCCTCCCATGGCCTGGCTTCCCAGGCCTCCTCTGAAGGCATGAGGGCTGCCTGTAGTCCCAGGGCCAAGCACTGGCTGATCCCAGCCCAACAGGCTCTGAGCTCTGGGGCACGCGATAAGATACACCGCCCACTCCCTAGTCCCGCAGGGCCTGCCCAGCAAAACGGAAGGGCACAGGACCCCGGGGTAGCTCAGCCCTGACTTCAGCGGCCCCAGCTTTCCTCTCCCAGTCCCTCTTCCCTGCAGCTGGCTGGAGGCTGGGCTGCCCTGGCCAGCATGGGGAGAGCAGTGGGTGGCACACGCAGTTACTCATGCAGGAGGTCACGCTACAGTGACCAGGACCAGGACCCTTTGGGAGGGCACAGGCCCTGATTCCCAGCCTCCTGAAGAGGCTCCTGCTGATCTATCCCTGGGGAAGTTCTGGGGCCCTGCACCTCCGTGAGCACAGGCCCCATGGGGCAGGAAGACAGCCCCCTGCAGGGAGATCACCCACATCAGGCTGTGCCTCTGTCTCCAGCCAGTGTCTGCCATGGGTTGGGGTGAGCTGTGCCTACCAAGAGATGCCACAGAGGACTCTGACCCCCGAGAAGCTTGGCACAGCCCTGAGGTGGAGGGCTGCGGCCCCCAGACCCATGCTCTGGAGCAGAGGCCCCTGGAGCACCCATGATGGGCCCAGACCCTGGCTGAGGAGCCTGCGGTCAACCCCTGGGGCCTGTGTGTCCCCGAGTTGCCCCCAGCTGGGGCAGCAACCCAGGAACCCCTCCCCCGGGTAGGTTTCTATGGCCCAAGTTTGGCTGCGCAGCTTGACAGCTCCAGGCTGGCGGGAATACAGCCAGCAGACACCCAGCCTCAGCTGCGGGGTCCGTGTGGCTCTTGGCGTTCACAGGGAGAAGTTGAGGATGCAGCTCTGGGAGCCTCTGGAGCCCCCTCAGGCCCTTAGCCCTCCCCTCCGCCGGACACTCATGCACAGTGCCTGAGCAGCAGCAGCTCGCTCCACCGGGCTGAGATCTCAGCCCTCCCTGTTCAGATGGCAAACCGTGGAGGGAGAGATGCCAAAGAGCACGCGGGGACCCAGCGGGACAGGCCTCTGGGCCCCAAGGCCCCCCTCTGTCCTGACACAGGAAGGAGACTGAACACAGTGTGTGTGTGTTGGGGGGGTCCAAACGCAAGCCCTGCCCCTCTCAAAGCGCCCCACTGTGATCCCAGGTCACATGTGGCCCCGAGAGGACAGCTCCTGATGGCCCAGACACTGAAGACTACAAGGCATGGAGATCTGGGGCCCTGGAGCCTGGACCTCAGGGCGGGCGCCACAGGGCCATGGAGGCCTCCGCAGGGAGCTGCTGCTGCCAGGGCCTGTCCTGGACTGCACACAAGTAAGACCCCAGGGCCCCTGCAGGGATTCCGTGCTTCGCCTGGGGAAGCAGCTGACCTCTGGTAACTCCATCTTTACTTTTGGAGATGTTCCGTGCCGCACGGTGCTCTGTGCACATGCTGTGTGTCTGTGTGTGGATCCCATGTGCCTGAGACGGCCTCTCAGCGTCTGCCTGCTGCTGTGCGCCTGTGTCTATGTGTTTATGGATTTCAAACTTACTTTTGGCAGTGAATCAAATGAAATCAGTATTTTGAATTATGCATGCATTATGTACGTCAAGCAGAACACTTCTAAAGGCAGTAAGGATAACAGGACTGTTTTGACACACACAAAAAATGCAAAATGTGGCACTATGAATGCCCACGCGATCTCAGCTACAATGTATTGTGTTTTGTCCAATAAATGGCTTTTTTAAAAGCTTGACTTGCAACAGCAAAGGACAATTTAATTAAACTGACCCAGAAGTCAAAAAAGGAAAACATTTGCTGCAAAGCTCAATCACAGCTGCTTGTGTTTTTAATTATAAATAATACAAGTCAGCAAGATGCATCCGAAACTTACAAGAACCTTTAAACAATCCCTGATAGGTGAAGACATTTAGTTCAAACATGGGTTAGGGATAGGGTCATGGTCAGGGTCGGGGTCGGTGGGGTCATGGTCAGGGTTGGGTGGGGTCAGGGTCAGGGTCGGGTGAGGTCAGGGTCAGGGTCGGGTGGGGTCAGGGTCAGGGTCAGGGATAGGATCAGAATTATGGTCAGGACTAGAGTCAGTGTCACAGTTAGGGTTAGAATCAAGGTCATAAGGTCAGGGCTAGGGTATGGTCAGAGTCATGGTCAGGGTTAGCATTAGGGTGTCAGTATGATAGGGTCAGGTTCTGGGTTAGGGTGAGAGACTGGGTTAGCATTAGGGTCAAGTTCATGGTCAGTGTTAGTGTTAGGATCAGGTTGAGGGCCAGGCTTGGGTCAAGGTCAGGGTCTTAGTCACAGTGCCACAGTGAGGGTCGGTGATACAATGCAGGTTAAGGTCAGGGGCAGCGTTAGGGCCAGGGCTAGTGTCAGGGTTATTGGTAGGGTCAGTGTTAGGTAGAGGATCAGGCTTAGTGTTAGGGTCACAGTTAGGATGAGTGTTATGTGGCTCCTAGGCACTGGGGCAGGTGATGAAGAGCACTGGGCTAAGGTTATCTGCACCTCCTGTAAATCCCACTGCAGCTGTGGGTATCTGGAACCCCATCCACCCAGCATGCCTTGGCAGAAGATCCTGCCTTGACTCAGAGAAGGCCTCTGAGAACCGCTCTTTGTGGAAATCAGTGCCTGGATGACACCCGCTTCTCCCAGGAAGCATCAGCTGTCTAGGTTCATGCTGTGAGGCACAGAAACACAGAACTACCCACCCTTGGCTTCAGCCCCAAGCGTCTCAGAGGCCAGAGCTGTGCTCCACGGCCCCCAGCCCACCCAGTTTCACCGTCTGCCTTCTCTCCAAACCGTGAGCACTCTCTAATGTCTATTCAACGTCAAGCGTTGGTAGAGATGTTTTATCTCAAGCATAAGAACACATGCCTTAACCAGGCACAATGGCTCACGCCTGTAATCTCAGCACTCTCAGAGGCCAAGGCGGGTGGATCACCTGAGGTCAGGAGTTCGAGACCAGCCTGGCCAATATGGTGAAACCCTGTCTCTACTAAAAATACAAAAATTGGCCAGGCGTGGTTGCACATGCCTGTAATCCCAGCTACTTGGGAGACTAAGGCAGGAGAATTGCTAGAATCGCTTGAAAAGGGGAGGTTCAAAATCGCACCACTGTACTCCAGTCTGGGTGACAGAGTGAGACTCAAAAAAAAAAAAAAAGAAAAAGCACATGCTTTGGCTGAAGAGACTGGCCAGTTAATTATGGT